GGTTCAAACCCACCAGCCACTCCTCAGAAAGAAGGTTGGGCAATCCTACTTCCGTAGTGATACTGCCTCGGAAACCCAAGGAGGGGTCGCTATGAGTCGGTGCCGACTCGACGGCAAACAACAACAACAACATAGAACAAAGTGGAATATAGTAAAATAAAGAAGAAAAAGAAAAAAAACACTCACTGCTGTTGAGTTGGATCCAACTCATAGTGACCCATCCTTGGGTTTCTCAGGTGATATCACTATGGAAGTAGATTGCCCAGTCCTCCTTCTGAGGAGTGGCTGGTAGGTTTGAACCACCAGCTTTCTGGTTAGTAGTCAAATGCCTTAGACACTACACCACCAGAGCTTCCCCAAAATAAATAAAGGCGTATATGAATAAACATGCTAGTAAATAAGTAGTTCCAATGTAAGAATAGTTTGTGAAGGTGGTAAGATTTTTATTAAGATTTTTCCTTTATATATAGTATTGAAAGGCTCCCTCAAAGATTCAGATCAACTAATTCTTTACTGTGGCCTGTAACTTCTAGATGATCTGATCCTGCCTACCTCTCCAGCCTCATATACCATTTTCCTTATGTATAGCTAAAACTAACTTTTCCTATTCTTTGAAAAAGTACCATTGACTGCCAGAAGAATGAACAAATCTTTCCTGGAAGGGCAGCCAGAATGCTCCTTGGAAGCGAGAATGGCCAGATTTCATCTTAGTCTTTGATTATGTTTTCAGAAAAGACCATTCCCTGGAGAAGGATACCATGGTTGGTAAAATGAGGGTCAGTAAAATAGGGGAAGGCCCTCAAAGAGATGGGTTGACACAGTGGCTGCAACAATGGGCTCAGGTATAGCATGGACTGTGAGACTGGCGCAGGACCAGGAATTATTTCATTCTGCTGTACATACAGAGGGTCACTATGAGTCAGAGCCAACTCAATAGAACCGAACAACAACAACATGATTACTGGAATTATAGATATATTTGCTTAATTGCCTATTACATATATTCTTACTAGAATATAAGCTTCATGAAGGCAGGGACTTGGTCTTGTCGATAAATGTTTTTCAAATTAATGAAATGCATCAGTGCCAAATGCCCACAGACCTATTTGTTTTGACCAAATAAGCCCTATCACCTGGAGCTGCTATCAAATTCTTCTGAATCTGCCTTTTTCCCCCTCAATATCTTAGATTTACTCTAGCATTTTCTCTCTGCTTTTACCTGTCTAGGCTGTGTGTTCAATTTAAGTTTCCTTCATTTGAAATTAACCCAAAAGTGAAATATCACCGCAACCTATTAAATGCAACCCTATTCCAGGTATCTTAGTTATCTTTCACAGATAGGGAAAGGTAAGAATAATGCAAAGTACTTCTTATTTTATAAATGGAAGTCTTGAAAGTTGAATAAGAAAAGAAAACAAAAACAACATCTACTGTCATGTTTTAGTCATAGTATCCACTCTCTCTTCCTTCCCTTCTCCCTGCTAAGAGCAGAGCTACTATAAGATTTTTATCATTCTGCCTGTATCACATACTTATTTAAAACAGTTGCTCTAAAAGACCAGTCTGTGGACTGATGGATCAGAATGACCTGGTTGCCATTAAATAAAGATTTTCAGAGTCTACTATACTCAAAAAACTCACTGCCATTGACTCATTTTCAACCCACAGTGACCCCTCCTTGGGTTTCCGAGGAGATATCTCTACGGAAGTAGATTGCCCATTCCTCCTTCTGAGGAATGGTTGGTAGGTTTGAACTGCCAGCCTTATGGTTAACAGACAAATGCCTTAGGCACTATGCCACCAGAGCGCCTGAATTCACTATAGGATTCTATTTTAGGAGGTTTTAAAAAAGTCCTGGAAATATATTTTCTACAAAAGTTTCCCAGTTAATTATGAAACAGACAGGCTTAGAAGACAATGATCATTGTTTAGTAACTTAGATACCAATTAAATAAAAAATTTGGCTTATTTATGATTTATTGAGTGGCACCAATTTCCTTTTATCTGAACCACAATGATGTGAATTCTCTATTCATGTACTAGGAGTACAGGAGAGATACTAGGCCAGAAAAAAAAAAAAAAAAAAAAAACAGCATAAGAATGGAATGTGCACTTGTAAAAATAAAATTAAAAATCCAAACAAAAAAAAATAAACAACCAACAAAAAGCATTAAGTCAAGGACTAGGTAAATAATCACACACACGAGGAAAAGAAATTATTGGAGAAAAGTCTAAAGCCCATATATCAAGGTCATTTAATTCAAGTTACTAGCTACTGCTACTAAGTCCTAATTTACTGGCAAGGTCTGGTTTAATTTGGATACCGAAGGAAAAAAAAAAATCAAACTCACCACCACTGAGTCAATTCCAGCTCAAAGAGACCCCCATTGGGTTCCTAAGGCAGTAAATCTTTACAGAAGTAGATTGCTTCATCTTTCTTCTAAGGAGCAGATGGTGGGTTTGAACCTTCTGGTTAGCAGTCAAATGCCTTAGGTACTGCACCACCAGGGCTCTTTTTAAATTGAGCTGCTCTTAGTCACTCCTTGACTAGGCAGAAATTGATGTATTTTTGTCTGGATCTATAGGTACAAATTAATAACAGCTTACCTTTCCCTAGAAATAGAAATAGGGAAAAAAACAGTCTGATCTTGGTCCATTAATTTGCTCTCATTCACTCTGACCAATTTTCATGTGGATCTGAATTTTCCTCAAGGCAGCCTTCATGTCTTTGTTCTGGAGACTGTAGATCAGAGGATTTACCAGTGGAGTCACTGATGCGTAAAACAAGGTTACAATCTTCTATGTTCCAGCTGGGTTTCCAGATGTTGGGCTGATGTACATCCCCATGACAGTCCCATAGAACAGAAATACCACAACCAGGTGGGAACCACAGGTAGAGAAAGCCTTACGTCTGCCAGCTGCTGAAGGGACCCGTAACACTGCTCTGAGAACCAGAGTATATGACCCAATGATGAAGAAGAAGGTAATGAAAATGATAAGAGAACTCAATATTGAACAGGAAAGCTCAAGCCCAGGGGCAGGGATACAGGACAGGGCCAGAAGGGGACCTGGATCACAAACAAAGTGGTCAATAGTATTGGGGCCACAAAAGGGGAGTTGTGTGATAAAATAGATAGGGACTGGGTAACAGAGGAAGGCTGTCACCCAGCAGATGGCCACCAAGTTCATGCAGAGATGATTAGTCATGATTGTTGGATAGTGGAGAGGCCTGCAGATGGCCAGGTACCGATCAAAAGCCATGAGGGGCAGTAAGAAGGTCTCAGTGATGCCCAGGGAGAAGAAGAAGTAGAACTGAAGGAAGCAAGCAGTGAAAGATAGGGTTTTTGTCTCAGATAGGAAGTTACCTAACATATTTGGCATAGTAGTGTTGATGTAACAGATCTCCAGGAAGGAGAAGTTGGCCAGCAGAATGTACATGGGGGTGTGGAGCCTGTGATCCAGGCTCACTGCACAGACGATGGCTCCGTTGCCCATCAGTGTCAAGACGTAAGTCACAGAGAACAGCATGAAGAGGAATACCCGGACCTCTCTGGAGCAAGGAAAACTCAGGAGTATGAATTCAGTCACTGTGTTGGCTCCTGACACATTCATGACTTCCTAAGAGTGAAGAAAAGGGTGAGAATGACTCACCTGGCCTTATTACATAATTCTCGGGGGTATTTCTTTCTTCCTTTTCTTTTTTAGAAACTCCCAAGTTCATAAGATTATATTATTTTATTAAATAAATAATAATCTTACTCTAGTGCTGAAAACTACTGAGTTTTGAGAGTGCTTGATACATTCTGACCCTGACTTTTTGAACTCTGTTTCATTCTTCTTTCAGAATTTCTCAAAATAAAAGATAGGCTCCTAATGCACTAAGCAGCTTGGAGAGGTTAATAATAGTACTTAGAAAATATGAAAATCATGTGTAGAATAAGATATGAAAGACATTTAATATTGGGCACATAATTTCAATTACTTGGATCTTTGGAATCAGAGACACAAATACTATTCATCAGAGGTGAAGAAGAGGGAGAAAGGTAATGAACAAACTCTTTATGGTGGTGTAGTGCCTGAGGCATTTGACTGCTAACCAAAAGGCTGGTGGTTCAAACCCACCAGCCACTCCTCAGAAGGAAGATTGGGCAGTCTACTTCCATACGATACCACCTCAGAAACCCAAGGAGGGGTCGCTGTGAGTCAGATCTGACTCAACTATTTTTAATCGTAAGGGGATCTGATATCCCACACCAAAAAAAATTGCCAAATGTGCTGTCCTTTTTCTAGTGTTCATCAAGCCTGTTAATGCAGGAAATCTTTGAACATCCAAAAACCAGTTGCCATTAATTTAATTCTGACTCATGGAAATCCAGTGTGCTGCAGAGTAGAACCGTTCCATAAGGTTTGCAATGCTGTGACCTTTCAGGGACAGATCACCAGGCCTGTCTTTTTTTGGCTAGTAGCTGAGAAATTAACCATTTGCAGGGTCTTTTTTTGAACATCTGTACATCTACATAATAGCTTTCTATTTGATTCCACCTTTTACCAGCTGACGTAAAATACCTTTGTTAATCATTGGACTCAGTTATAATCTCCTTACAAGTAGAAAAAGTGAGCAATAGATCTGGTATCTTATTTTTTAAGATTTTTGTCTAAAATGTGAGGATTTCTAGAAAGGTTTAGGGATAGTTGCAAAAGACTACAAATGTCAGGCACTTCCAAGCAGAGACCTCTGTGAACCAAAGACAAATGACAGAATCATAAACTGTCTCTCCAGAGAAGGATTCCCTCTCCTACTTCACAGTTCCCTCGGATGCTCTCATCTCATTATAGGTCTGGGAGGTTGGATTTGTTTAGATAAGTGGAGGGAGAGGTGGGAAGTCATTATAATTTTGGAGCACATAAAATGTTCACAAGAAGTTCCTTCTCAGAATTAGACTTAGTCTGGAACCTTTTCTGACTTTCATTGAGAGAGGTGCAAAACAAGACCAATGCAATCTCCTAATATTTTGTGGCCAATAGTTTGGTCTTAATTTACTTTCTGGATGCTCTCAGTTAGTGGGACAATCTTTAATTGGGCCTAAATGACCCCAAGTAATGGTATTTATAGGAAAATATAAGTCCAACACACAGCCCCAGACATTAAATCTTGATTTTTAAAATATTCTAGCTAAGAATATATTAGTTACAAAATGTGTTGCTTTCCACATCACATAATGCATACCTTTAAAGATGATCTTGATTGTTTCACTGGAGACACACTGGAATTGGGAAGATTCAGAATTTTCACATCACACTTCACTTGAAAGGCTCCTCTTCAGTCTATGAGTAGATTATCTCTGGTGTGTCAAAGAAGGTATGTCCTCTCTAGCAGGAATTCAAAGTACCCAAGAGGAATGAGTAAGAGAAGCAAGAAGAAATATTTGGTAACCAATGTTTGGAGACTTCCAGTGGTTTTACAAACTAACTGGAAATTAATTCACTAACTGGCATGCTCAGTCATCTCATTGCTCTCCCATCTTTCAATGGCTATCATCTGGTCTGAGGCAGAGCTAAACATGGCTAAAAAATGGGGAGAGGTGAAGTTTCTTTCAGCCCTGCTCCTTGCATAATCTGTCTCTCAGTCCTTTCCAGATGATGTTTTGCCAATGTCTCTGTTCCCCTAAAGAGCCAGTTCTAATTAGTTAATAAAGACATTTACATACTACTGAAGTTTCTCCTCCCTCGCTCCCTGAGTTTCCCCAGCTCTCTTAGTTTTAAAGATGAGTCTCTACATTCATGTAACTTGGAGTGCTGTTATTTTTACAGTCTTACACAGTATAAATCAGAGCTAAACAGCGAGCCTAAGAGATGTCCTATACTTGTATCTCTTCTGAACCCATCTGCACATAGAAATGGCAGGCGTGACTTGTAATCTGTTTTCACTGCAACATATGGAAGGCAAGGCATCTTTGGTAGCCAGAAGGTAGAGAGGGGAGTTACATTGCCAGACACGCAGTATTGGTTTGTAGGAAAGGTAGTGTATTTGCTATATGGCAGACACTTATCAATGTTACTATGAAATCTGTTTTATGCATCCTAAGGGATACAGTCTCCTATGGATTCTAAAAGTGGGGCTTTATGAAGAAAGGTTATCAGTTATATCCCAAAAGTTTTCTTCCCATAGGAGCCCATTAATTGGCTCTGGGGACTCAGTTTTTCCAGAGATGATCACATCATCTTATGTTATTTTTAGAGCAGATGTTTATTTTGGTTCTCTCGAAAGGTTGTTGTTATGATGGTATAAACACCAGCAACACCAGCTTTGTTGGAACATTGAGTTTATGTTCTTATTCTCTCACACTCAATTTTATTCTTTTTTTTTTTTTTTTTAGCTTGTCTGCAAGTTTTGGACTGACTCTCTTCTTTGTTCCTATCAGAGTTGACACTAGAGTTATAATTTTCTTTCCTGTTGATGCACGCAACAACTTGGGAAGGGCTACTTCCTTTTTTTGGTAAAAGGGTTTCTCTTCCATGTCAGCTTTGAGCTTCTAATATGATACTGATAGTAAGTACGAGGCGAGAGTACTAAGGCAAGAGTGAAAAAAAGAGTAACTTTGTCCTCTGCAATCTCATGATGTAAACTGTAAATGAAATGGGGGTAAGGATGGAGACTATTATAATCTTGCTCCAAATTATAAGGCTACCTCTGAGAATGTGTAAAGTCATAATCCTCTTGTCACTGCTGCTTAGTTGATCTTCTGCTCTGGCTGTGGTATTGTGGCACTAAAGCTTAAAACACTATCCTGTGAGTAGCTCTGGTGGCATAGTGTGTAAGGCATTTGACTGCTGGCTGGCAATTCAAACCCACCACCACTCTTTGGAAGGAAGTTTGGACAAGGACAGGTCACTATGAATGGAATAAACTCAATGGCAGTGAGTTTGGTTTTGGTTTTGTGAGTGGTTCTATCAGTGGAATAGAACCTGTTAGGTTAATTCTGAGCTACCAAGAATAAAAATGAAAAAGACAATATTTCTCTCTAAATATAGTGGAACTTTTTAGTGGTAAAAGTATTTTTCCTTCCATGGCTAAATTAAGTCTCTTGGGAAGTCTGAATCCCCAAAATATCTGTCTTATGTTGTTCAATAGTCCTGATGTTCAAAATGTCATTGTTATAATTTCTTTGAGTTAATATTAATGGTGATGAAACACCTACAATTTATTGAATACTTACTATGTGCTTTGTGTGTATTATCTCATTAACTCCACATAATAAGGCAAAAAAGTAAACCCCATTGTATAGAAAATTCTGCAATAACAGTAATAATAATCTGCAAGTGGATACTTATCTCATTAAATCCACACAATAAGGCAAAAAGATAAATCCTGGCATATACAAAATTCTGTAATAACAGTAATTATAATAATCTACAGGTGGATACTTAGGTAGACACTCAAGCTGAACAGGAGTGGGAAAGTAAATGGGTCTATACCCATGAATATATATACGTTTAACAGAAGGTATTTCTACATATGTATTGATATGTGTTGTAAATATATCCATGAATATAGTAGAACACACAGGGGGCAAGTTTATTGTTCTGGTACCTAGTGCCGCTCTGACAAGAATATACCACAAATGGGATGACCTTAACAAACAGGAGCTTATTCTTACAATTTGGAGGCTTTAAGTCCAAGTTCAAAGTGACAGTCTCTAGGGGCTGTGTGAAAGCCCCTCAACCTTGAGGTCCAGCTCTGCCTCCTGCTCCTAGCCCACTGGAGCTAGAGGCGTTTCTTCACTCAGACAGCTGCTGGCTGCTGAGGCTGAGAAGCCTCAAGGTTGACAAGTAAAAAGGCACAGTCCTGATGTTACCAAACCACATGGCAGGCCATTAACTTAAGTCCATTGTAAGTCCCAAGGTCTGCAGAGCATGGCAGGCTGCTGAACAACGACACGGCTATGCGCAGGGTCCAAGCGTGCCATAGACTAGAGACCACTCCTAAAGCTGCTGCTTATATACGGGAAACAGACCATATACCCAAATACTCAGCTGCTTTTGGCAGATCCTACCAGGGAACTGATTGCCAGTCTCATCATGGGGAATAACTACATCCAGCTGCCTAGCCACTCAACCAGGCCCAGCCAAGCTGACACACAAACATAACTACCACTGTTAGGAAAACTTCTTAACTATAATCACCCTTTGAGGTATGGAGTTACTGGACCTGGGGACTCAGGACCATAGTCTTGGAGACATGATGGTCAATTGACATAACATAGTCCACAATGACAATGTTCTGCATCCTACTTTGGTGAGTAGCAACTGGAGTCTTACAAGCTTGTGAACAGCCATCTAAGGTATAACTCTTGGTTTCTCCCCATTTGGAGAAAAAAAAAAGATGAAGAAAATCAAAGACATTTGGAAACAATTAGTCCAAAAGGCTAAAGAACCATGAGAACTCCAGTCTCTATGACTCTGAAACCAGAATTAGTCGTGCCTGGCTACCACTGCTGACCACTCTGAAAGGGATCACTTAGAAGGTCCTGGATAGAGTGGGAGAAAAACATGGAACAAAACTCAAAACAATAAGGAAGACCAGGCTTACTGGTCTGATAGAGACTGGTGGAACCCCCAAGAATATGGCCTTTAGACACTCTTTGAGTCTGGACATGAACTTATCCTAGTGGTTCAACTTTCAGCCAAACAATAGACAGGCCTATAAGGTGAACAATAACACCAGGAAGGTATGCTCTCCTTAGTACAACCAACAATACGAGATAAAAGGGTAGCATTTGCCCAGGGATAAACCTCAGAGGGCAGGAAAAGAGAGAAAATAAGGACGAATGAAAAGGTAAATATAGGGAGGAAGTAGGAAGAGTGATGTTACATTAGGGGGATTACAATCAATGTCACAAGTCAAAATGTGTATGAACTATTGAATAGAAAGAAAATCAATTTGCTCTGTCAACTTTCACCAAAATCATACCAAAAAAAAAAAAATCCACACACTACTGTGGTATAGTTGGGATATAATATGTCTTGTTCACATATAATATTTAATCAATTTGGGTTAATTTGTACCAAGGAGGCTTTTGAAATGAAAAGAAATATGGGTGTGATCTCATTCTGTGCTATTGTAGAGGTTGGAAATTCCTAAATGTGAATGCAATTACCAATCCTCTCTGTGTGTTAGAATCTCCTGGGGAGCTTTATTTATTTATTTTATTTTTTAAACTTTTTATTGTGATTTGGGTGAAAGTTTACATAGCGAATCAGTTTTCCATTGAACGATTCATACTCATTTTGTTTCATGACATTGATTGCAATCCCCACAGTGTAACAGCACTCATCCCACTTCCTCTCTGTTCCCGCTTTCATTTGTCCTTCTTTCTGATCCTTTCCTGTTCTTTTGAACTTTATCTCTAGGCAAATGCTGCCCTTTTAACTTCATATGGTTGATTGGTCTAATGAATGGGTACCTCCCTGGTGTATTTGTTCACCTTCTAGGCCTGTCTATTGTTTGACTAAAAGTAGAGTCATGAGGGTGAGTTCAGTTCCAGGCTTCAAAAGTGACTAAGGGCCATAATCTTGAGGGTTCCACCAGTCTCTATCAGACCAGTAAGCTGGTCATTTTTTGGGGGGGAGGTGTCCTACATTTTTCTCCTACTCTATCCAGGACCTTCTCATTGATCCCTTTCAAAGCAGTCAGCAATGGTAGCTGGGCACTATCTAATCCTTCTGGTGTCAGGGTCGTGGATGCTGGAGTTCACATGGTCCATTAGTCTTTTGGACTAATTGTTTCCACGCATCTTTGATTTATTTTCACTCTTCTTTGCTTTGGATGGGGAGAGATCAATAGTTGCACCTTGATAGCCATTAACAAGCTTTTAAGACCCAAATACTACTCACTAAAGTAGGATGTAGAATGTTCTCCTTGTGGACTACTTTGTGTCAATCGACCTTGATGTCTCCCAAGACTATTGTCCTGAGCTTGGGGAGCTTTTGAAAAATAGCTGTGCCTCCCTACCCCAAATTGGTTAAGAAGCACTACTGAGGCAGAGTGAAGTGTCAATTGAAAAACCCACATGTGCTTATGATTACTATAATCCTTTCAGATAATTTGTTGTAGATTAGTAGTTCTCAAAGTGTATATCAATCCCTGGAAGATTTTATTTAAAATCTTATTCAATAGATCTAGGATGGAGCCCTGAAATCCTGACTCTATAAATCTAGGATAGGGTCCTGAGATTCTGCCTTCTAAAAAGGTACCCTCACCCCCACCGGTGATGCCCAGCTGATAATCCAAAACCACACTCTCAGTGGTAAGGTTGTGTAATAAGTATTTTTAAATGTGCAGGAGAGGAAGCATGGGGTGTTGAGAATGTAAATCAGTTCACATAGCATTGAGGAAGCATATAATAAAAAAAAAAAGTGGAGGCAATAAGTATAGTGAATTCTTTTGAACAGTTTGGTAACAAAAGAAGGAGATTAATGGTAAAATATCTTCAAGAATAAGAATAGCCTAGGGAAGAACTTTAAGATAGCGGGAAGTGATGCACATTTTGATACTGAGGGAAAGAATTAATAAAAGATTGAAGATGTAAGAGAAATTAAGTGGATAATTGATTAGTAAAATTCCTAGAACAGATAGAATTTAGAAGGCATGACTGTGAGGAAAATGAGGAGTTTATGTGGAACTATTAGCCCTAAAAAGAAGGAGATGACATATAAACACATAAGAATAGCTACAGGAGGAGAGGGGATTGGTATTATCTGTGTTGGTGGCTTAAATTTTTTCAGTGGTAAGAATGATGGGTTTTTAAGAGGTAAGATTGACAGAGAATATGCCAGATGTTGTAGAAGAATGTGTAATATTGCTCAACTGCAGGGAAATAAAGATATTTGGGTAGTGTGGTGCCTGAGGGATTTGACTGCTACCCAGAAGGCTGGCGGTTCAAACCCACCAGCCACTCCTCAGAAGGAAGGTTGGACAATCTACTTCCATAGTGATACTGCCTCAGAAACCCAAGGAGGGGTCACTATAAGTTGGATCCAACTCCATGATAGTGAGTTTAGAGAGTTAAGAGGTCTAGGAATTATGAGGACAGGCACTGGGTGGGTTATTTATTAGAATCTTGATATATCCCATACGTTCTTTATTGGTTTAAGTCAAATCACAGAACATATGTGGGCCTAGGGAATTTAAAGGGTCATATTTTACAGTTGGAGTCCTTAGGTAGTACAAACAGTTAAATGCTCAGCTACGAACCAGATAGTTGGTGGTTTGAATCTACCCAGAGTCACTTTGTAAGAAACACCTGGTGATCTATTTCCAAAAGATTACAGCCATTGAAAACCATAGGGAGCACAGTTCTACCCTGATATATATGGGGTCACCATGAGTTGGAATCAACACAAAAATAACTGGTTTGGTTATTTTACAGTTTGCCTCCTTCCACATGCTCATGTCTGTTTGCCAGTTCCTCAGCTTATCACTGACAAGACGTTCATAGTTAGAACTCCTGTGGAAATGACTCACTAACATCACAAATCATTTTTAGGAACCTCCTAGCACTTTTTTCAAGGCATCCTTCATCTCTTTATTCCGGAGGCTGTAGATTATGGGGTTGAAAAATGGTGTCAAAACTGAGTAGAATAAAGTAGTGAATTTCTGCATGCCCTCTGCTTGCCCCGACCCTGGGCTCACATATGTTATCATGACAGATCCATAGAACAGAAACACCACAGCCAGATGTGAGGAGCAGGTGGAGAAGGCCTTCTTTCGGCCAGAAACTGAGGGCACCTGAGTCACAGCCCTGAGCACCAAAGTGTATGAGCCAACAATATAGACAAAGGTGGCAAAGATGAGAAGGGAGCTCATGGTGCCACATATGAGAACAGTCCCTGGGATTGGGACACAGGCTGAAGCCAGAGCCAGTAGGGGACCCAGGTCACACAAAAAGTCATCAACCACATTTGGGCCACAAAATGGCAGCTGAGTAACAAGTATAACTGGGATCAGAAACCAGAGGAAACCATACACCCAGCAAAAGATGACCAGGTGACTACAGAATTTAGAAGTCATGACTGTGAGGTAATGCAGGGGGTGGCAGATTGCCAGGAACCGGTCATAAGCCATGATAGAAAGAAATAAGCATTCAGCTGTGCCCAGTGAGAAGAAGAAGTACAACTGCAGGAGGCAACAGGTGAAGGAGATGGTTTTGGTCTTGGACAGGAAATTGGCTAGCATGGTGGGCACATCAGAGTTAACATAGCAGATCTCCAGGAAGGAGAAGTTGGCCAGCAAGATGTACATGGGAGTGTGGAGCCGGTGATCCCAGTACACTGTACACACGATGGCCATGTTTCCAAGGAGAGTCAAGATGTACATCACAAAGAATATGGAAAAGAGGAAGAGTTGTATTTCCCAGGGGCAAGGGAAGCCCAAGAGGATGAACTCACTCACAGTATGGGAGACATTTCTGACTTCTGAGGTCATTTTCTTTTGTCCTGTGAGGATTACAGCAGAAAGTATATACTATAGTGGGAATTATATCTCCTAATTCTTCCCCAGGAGAGTAAGCACACTTTCCTGATGGCAAGGAGAAAGTCTAGACCAGTGGTTTCCTCTTTCTTTCTTTTTAAGCTGAGTATTCTATAATACAGTGGTTGAGTACACTAATTTATATATCACTATTTACTAATAAATTACATGTAACCTACTACCGTCCACTAGATTCTAACTCATAGCAATCCTGTAGGACAGACTAGAATTGCCCTGTAGTTTCCAAAGCTGTAAATCTATATGCAAGCAGACTGCCAAATTTTCTCCTACAAACTATGTATAAACCACGGTCAACCAATGTAGAATAGATTAATAAAGATATTTTTTAAGTTCTTAGAATTAAAATAAAAATAGATATCTAAATATTTCTTTCCTGTTGTGACGGTAAATACAACTAAAGGGACTCCTCTCACGCTTTTCTTTGAGCTTGTACTTTAGAAAACTTGTAATTGTGAATTTCTTCTTTGCCTCTTTTGAAATGTGTACAAATCCCTTCAAAAAGCTAAATAAGACTGTTGACAGTTTTATAACTCAGGACATTTTCCTCAAGGATCTGGGAGCAGGAGCAAATTACCCCAATAAGCAAAATAAACACGGGCTTACTTGCGCTTATTTACCAATCTATAGTGAACAATTTCCTATTAATGATGAGTAAGTAAGCCCAGGTAAGCCTGTGCCTACTTTGTTTACTGGATACTCCATCCCTGTCATGGGTTTGTAAATTTGAAAAGGAGTTTTGTTTCTGTAGGAAAGTGCTATGGGGTTGAGAGATAGATGCCAGCCATACCTAGAAGCAGAATCTTCGATGTGGTGGAAAAAATAGGAATTTGTTCACTACAGATTAGTAAATAAGCACAAGTAAGCCATGCTTACCTTGATTATTGAGTAATGTGACACTGTTTGGGGTCCTCTCTTTAAAATGTAATCATTAAGGAAGATGGTGCCCTTATTGCTCCATTTGCAAGTCTAATTTGATCCAAGTTGCAAACTTATTTTCTGTATAAAGAGATGGGAAGTTTAGTAGACTCTGGATAAAGACAGTTAGAAACCAGCAGTGGCTACTCCAAATACCAGGTGAATTTAGGATGTGATGAATGGTGTGCTCATGTCCTCTTACTTGAGGACTAGTTATCAATTTATCATGACAGCATATAAGAAACAGATTGCATCTGCTTGACTGTATAAAGGGTCAGATTTCTTTCTCTTCTCCCTTTGTGGATAGCTTTTCTAGATGAGCAGGATTTTGTGTTTAATTACATTTTCTCAACACTACATCCCTCAGTGGGTTGCCTGGTGCACCCCAGTTTGGAGGACACTGGCTCTCTTCATCTTTTCTTAACAACTTTCATTCTCTGGGAAAAGAAATTCCAGTAAATTTATGCATGAACTTAATCCCCAAATCTGTGAAGAGTTATCCTGTGTGCAATGCCACATGACCTAATGGCTTACACACTGTGCTACTGAAGTAGTGTTTACTGGGGAAATCTCAGGGACCCAGAGTCAGTCAAAGGGACGCAGTTCCCCTTTGCTGATTATAACCACTGCAATACACAGCTCTGTAAGACATCAGGTTTCAAGAAGGGAACTTCAACATTGGGCTGTGGGTTTTTTAGCTGCATAATTAGGGAAGGACTGATCTCTCCTCTGATGTGATTGGGGGCCAGGATATGATATCAAAATGATGATGTATACTTCAATCCAGTCCTATTTCAAGACTTAGAGTTTGTGTTTGGAGGAGAGGGACACCAGCTCTTCTCCTCATTCGACTGAGGTCTGAGTTTTGAGCTTCACAACTGTCGCTGAATGACAGGATGAGCTAATAGCAAGATTCTCCACATGAGTCCATGTGATGGTGAAGGTGACTGACTTAAGTACTGTATAATAGCGCATTTCATTTCCATGGAGCTTTGCAGAAGTGCAGCTTCCTCTTTGGGAAGGCAGCTTGAAGGAGATTAGTTTAGGACAAGTTAATCCTTATGTATGAGGTATATAATTTTTTTTCACTTTCTCAATTATTTTTTAGGGCAATTGCTTTGCCACAGCAAAGATTATTACTTCCATTTCCTATATGAGGAGATGAAGACTCAAAGCCGCTAAATGCCTGAGGCACAAGATCAAAAAGTAACAAAGTCAGGACAAGAGTCCATTCTTTATAGTTCCTAATTTACTGTTTCCTCACTATGTCAGAGGACTTTAGTGTCAATATGTCTAATATATCACTCTCCTCCCCCCAGGAAAAAAAATGCCTCATACTAATAATATATATCATTGTTGCTGAAGACATCACCACAGCATCTAAAGGGGAGGAGATAGGGTCTTCAGGTATCCCCTCTTAGGTGATAATTATATCTTTTCCCCCTTTAATTTTCATTTTCCCATGGCTATCTTATTTTTGTAAGAAGAATACCTAAGCAGCATGAAAATATCAAACAATTTAGTTCAGATTTAACAGCTGTACTTAACCCCTCCTCAAATGTGGTCTTAGGATGGCATCAACTGGCCATTGAAAATGAGATGAGCTGCAAGTTTTCTTTCATGACAATAGTGCAAAAAGAGGTGATTGCTCTCAGACTGACTTGAGAAGGACACACACAGCAGGCAGTTATGTATAAGGCTATTTCATTCTAGATGAATTCTGCAATATACAACATTCAATTCCTCACAGTCATCTATAACCTGAGACAAACCAGTCCTCATCCACTAGTACAAAATCTAGATAATTGATCAAAAAAGAACATTCTTGAAAAGAAAGGAAAAGAGAAGATGTCAAGATACAACATGTTAGATAGTGAGGGAGCGTGTAAGGTGGACACAGGCATTTTTTTTGTGTGTGTGTGCTTTTTAATTATCTGTATAATTACATAATCTATATCTATATAATTCTATTTGTTGGGACCTTTTTTATCACTACTTTTTTATTATTTTTATTTTTTCCCCTAATTAGCCATCTTACCACCTTTTCTCCCTATTCCTATTCCCCTCTTTCCTATTCTCACTTATTTTATCGTATGAAGGACCTTTGTTTCAATGTGCTATGTTCCAGGGATCCATTTAAAATAATTGAATCATGTCTCTTGCTCACTTGTTCCCTCTTCAATTCTGGAGGAATTAAAAACTGTCAAGTCTAGACTTCTACTTCTTGGAATAATGTATCTCTCACATACACTGGCTTCAGAGAAACCAAGGATTACAGAGGGACCTTGAAAGTCACATTTTCTTCTTCATCTTAACTTAATAACTTTCGGAGCTAGAAAATAGTTTGTTTTTTCTCTAACCTACCCTTCCATAGCAGTAAGGACCCTCCCTTCTAAGGTCTTGCTAGGAGACACCTACCTTCTGCTGGAATCATCAATGACAAAGGGCTCATTGCAAAGCAAGGCAGGACATCATTTTCAGAACAGCTTTCCTTTTTAGAAGTTGTAGTCAATTTCTTTGTTCTCTTTTACTGAGTCACTTTCCCATCTTGATTTTTCATCTTAGCGTTACTTCTACCTTAGAGAAATTAACACTTACTATATGCCTATTGTAGGTACACATTCTGTGAGGATTCTGAACGTGCATTATCCTTTTTAATGCTTTAACAATGACAGAAGGCTTTAATCACCACAGATTAGCAAAGATACTAAATGGTATCACTGGGCAAGACTTTCATTTTTTCTACTATACTATACTGATGCTCAGAATAAGTTTACATAGCAACCCTTGAACGTATTTCAGGAGAGCATTCGTGACTTCCTTGAATCATTTCTATTTAGACTAAGCACTCTTGGTTTCTTCAACTGAATACAAAATAATTTCTAGAGTTCATCATCCTGGTTGACTTTCTTTTATTGGTCATGTCCTTTGGAAAGTGTGATGGTACTAACTGAGCACAATGCCCCTGATTCTGTGTAATTGATAAAGAACAGATTGGCAATAGACTCTCTTGCTTTAGAAACTCAAGCAAACTAAAGTTAACATTAAGTTTTGGGTGGGCAGCATTTCTGCACTTTTGATTTTATTGAGCTTAGTCCTTAGCATTTGTTCACAAGAGCTTCTTTGAAACCAGATTGCCCCTTTCTGATGCTTGTCCAAGTGAGTTTTTGAATCATGAGAAGTTAATTACTGAATTGCACCAAGTGCTTCAATTCATTCAATTCATATTTTAGGCTTTGGAATGACTTTAAAAATAATAGCTATTTTTTAATTGTTATTGCCCCAAAATTTGATAAATATTACTTGTGTGTATGCATAATTTATTTTTTATTGAAATATTAGGTAGGACATAATAATATGCTTTGTCATGCCACTTAAATTTCTTTCTAGTTTAACATATTATCAACAATTGTAGATAGATAGCTAAGCTAGTGACAGATAAGTGGGGGGGAAAAAAAGGTGGTGAAAATGACATTGACATTGTAGCTCTGGAAAACATCCCAGCAGGTTATTAAACAGATGGTTCATAAAAATTCTTTTGAAGCCACTCCTGTACTTTTACTTTTGTGCCATTAATAAGCTGGTACCCTTGCTCAATTTCAGGTTTGAAATTTTTTTTTTTAATTCCCTAGAATTCAACCAAAGTTTACTGAGTCCAATTGTATTCTTACATACTTTTCAATGCAATGGGGTTTAAAAACATATTTAGATACCTACAGAGTGAAATGTTTCAAAAAATGAGAACTATTATTGTTTTCAGTAGAGTCAAGAGACACTTTTAAGAGTGAATATAAATTTCAGTATACATTCTGGAAGTTAAATCTATAATCTCCACATTTTTATATTAAAGTTGTTCATTAAATATGAAAGACACAAATTTTTCTTTTGCTTTTGAAATTAGCAAAGATGAAAAATCATGGTGAAGACACAATGAAATGACACTCAGAAAAACTGTCGGAAGGAACAGTTTTGGGTTTTTTTTGTTTGTTGTTGCTGTTGTTGTTTTCAGGCAATTCAGA